AAACTGAGGCTTGAAGAAGTTGGGTAACTTGTTTGAAGTCACTGATTACAGAGCCAGCATTCAACTCAGCTGTGCCTGATTCCTGTGTCCCTGCTATTCTGTCCCTTTCTTGAAGGCTATGGGGTATTAGTAGCTGATCACATTTAAACCTTGTGCAATAAGGATTTCCAGAAAAACAAAACCAATGTCTTCTCTTTCTTTGTATCCCTCAGAATGTTTTGAACAAAATACCTAACAGACTTTATAGACAGATGATCAGTTCTTACCTGAAGAGGTCTAAAAGCAACTTTTGATCCCCTATTTCCTTAAGGAAGTGAATGAGATGTCTCAGGGCAACCTGTCGCACCTCCAGCTCCCGGAAGAGGATCTCTGGCAGGCAGGAATTAGGTGGGAAAGATTAAAGCCTGTAACTCAAGTGTGAAACTGATCTCCCTACTCACACATCCCAAACATTATCTCCTTAAAATTAATGAGAAGCTAGGAATTTTTTTTTAATGGTACTATTCCTACGGTCCAGTCGTATCAAAACACTCCATGGTCCATTGCAACTCTGATTCACTGGGTCAGCTTTCAGTTCCCACCAACCCAAACAACAGGCACTTAAGCATGGACTCTGACTTCCTCAAACTAATGTGGCCATTCTTCTGTCCAGTAAATAGGAGACCCAGGCCACCCCAACTGTCTTTAAAGCATACTTGACACTGGTGAATTCTGGTCTCAAGGCCACAATGCCATTCTCCCTTCAAATGTAGCAGACATCTAGCTGGATGAAGATTTCCCTCAAATCATGCTCACCTTTGCTCAGCGTCCTCTTCAGGAAGATGAGAATCTAGAGGAAAAGAAACAAGGAATAAATTACCTGGTATGATCTTTCAGACAAAATGTCCTACCCTGAGCACCTAAGGTCTAGGAACACACAGCAATTCATTAGGACTCTTTGCAGGCTCAGAGACTTCTCTATGTGATGAAAAACTAGGAAATGGATATCAGAAGCTGAGCTGTATCTTGGGAGTCCATGTGCCTGGGCTCACCATAGTAACAGACTTCTTCTTCTGCGAGAGACACTTCTGACCTTACTCCTCCCTCAGATTACTTTTTCAGAACACAGAGTGGCCAATCTACTGCATGTCCATCCAGCTGAGCCTCAGACCATGTGTTATGAGAACTGTACACTTCAAGAGCAAATCCAGGACTTCCACTAGACCTTTAAACTGAAATGATGAAGTCTATTCTAACTGCATGTTCAGAAACTGATGAAAATAACAATTAAAACCCACAACTCACTGCAGTAATGACGTTTCCGTCGTGCACGCTTACTGCTTCATCTAGAAGCTGTAGTTTATCCTGTAATGAGCGGAATCTTTCCAGTGAACAGATCTGTCAGAATAAGAATAGAGTAAGTGCAAGGAAGGAGACTGTTTCCTATATTCCTTCATCACTAGGTACAAAAGAATGGGCAAGAATTAAAGGAAATGTTCCCAAGGGCTGCCTCCCCATTTTGATACTGTGACCCCCAGCACTTAGAGACAGAAGGTTCACTACACAGCCTCTCCAGTTCAATGTTATGCCCTAGAAGAATGCTAATGTGCTGAAGCCTTGCCAAAGTCAGTGAGTAGAAAAATCACTTACTCTTTTTTTTAATGAGGTATAGTTTACAAATAAATCTACCTGAGTGTATAGTGCGATGAGTTTTGACAAGTAGGTAGTTCAATGTAACTATCTCCACTATCAAGAAAGAGCATATGGCCATCATCCAAAAAGTTCCCTGTCCACTTTGAAATCAATATCCTCTTCCCATGGCCAGCCCCTGGCAAACTACATCTGTTTTCACTTTCTAAAATTTTGTCTTTTTCAAAAATTTCAGCAAAATAGAACCATACAATATGTATTTCGTTTCTATGGGGCTTTTCACTCTGTATCATGTTTCTGAGACTTATGTGTTGTGGTGATTTTCTGGTAAGTAGTTTCCTGTTATAATGCACATATACAATTTATCCAATTACCTGCTGAGAATATTTGGGCTGTTCTCACTCAGAGAACAAAGTTACTATAAATGAACAGACCTTTTCTTGATAGTAACAATGTTGATCATCTTTTCAAGTGCTTATTTTTCATTCTTGTATCTTTCCTCTAACTGGTCACATCTTAGGCCACTTTATTAGACTGTTTATTGTCTTCCTACTAAATATTATTCATTATAAATATACTCTGAACAAAATCTTCTATATGTATTTTGCAAATATTTTCTTCTAGCTATGTGATCTTTTCATGTTTTTAATGGTGCTTTCAAAGAACAAAAGTTTTAAATTTTAATTAAATGCATTTTAACAGTTTTCCTGTGCTTTTTCAAAAAAGATTTATTTATTTATGCATACAGAACTGGGGTACAGGCCAGAGGTGCAGGGGCAGTGAGAGGATTCACCAGAGACAGAGTGAAGAGCAG